TAGTATATACATAAATGGACTGTAGCGTCGATGTGGTGAAAGAGAATTTATTTTGTTGATGGGTCGAGCAAACTCTACTTGTAAAGATGTGGTGGCGTACATTTGAGCAGCTTCAAAGTTTACAAGTCGGAATCTAATAAAAACCACGAGAATTAACAAAATCTCTAAGATTAATCTCAGAAATTTAAAGTCAATGTTGGTTCCCGATAGGAAAACAACAACAGCTTTTCCCTTTAAAATCATGTCGTAGTTGTGCTTCCCAATAACTAACTAACGTCGTCTGTAAGCCATTCCGGTAACAGCAAGTAAGAAATTTTTAATTAAGTTTCGATGTGTAACTCTTGTGAGGGGATAATCATTAAATGCGCTCTCTCGCCGAGTGAAGCGAGAGGGATCGTCAGACTCTTGCTGACCAAAAACCACGCCGTTCTTTTTTAGTTCGTAGCGTTCTGCGCGCGTCTCAAAGGGCCAATAGGGCTGATGTTCAGCTGGGGTTGCGGGGTAAGCGCGATGAGTCACCACGGCCTCGGCCCAGAACAGGAGAAGGAACGTTAGTCAGTAAGAGTCTGACACTCTCTCTCGCTTTACCCTGGGCGGGTGAAGTCATTTGAAGATTTTACCCTGACAAAAAAAAGGCTTGGGCTGCGGTTTTTTATTGTGTTTGATCAGCAACCCCGGCTGCACATTGGTTTTTTGGGCCCCATCTGATGTGGTCTATTGGTTCTTTGAGGTGCACCCACCGGTCCCTGATGCCTGGAGCCTCTCCTACTGCAGCGACTGGGTCGTGAGAAGGATAGTTCCCTCAAGCGCTCCACCTTCTTCTTTGCGAGCATGCAGCTCTGCGAAGCATTGTTGCAGAAAGAGCGAACGGCTTCCCAGTTCCTCTGGTTTTGACAGCGATCGTAGCCTCGTAGGTGACATGATCTAAGAGCGAATTCTATGAGCCCCATGCCAAGTGTGGCGATTGTAGCAACTTCTCATGAAAGAAGGCTTTATTCTGCAGCAGACGTATTCGTCGTTGTGGCCCGTTGAGGGTGTAGGTTCGAAACCTGGCAAGTACCAATGTGACTTTTTCCGAGTTATATGTACTTTCAATGATTATTTAGACACCACCGGCATACGATGAAGGTAAACATCGTGAGGAAACCTTTTTTTTTTTCGCCGTCCGCAGACCCGCGTTTACGGTGGCCGGAGATCATCTCTCGATCGTGAGGAAACCTGGGCTTATAATTTCTTATTATAAGTTTGAAATCGCCAACCCGCATTGAGCAAGCGTGGTGATCAATGCTCTAACCTTCTCCGTACGAGAAGAGGTCTTTGCTCAGCAGTGGGCACTTATAGGCTGATGATGGTGAGACGTATTAGGGCTGGTCATAAGAGTCGCTGATAAGTAGGCAGTTTCTACTGAGAACACTTGAGAATTGATTGCGTGCCTACTTAATGCAGTTATCACTGTGACTTTGTTCCCGTATCTGCGAAGGTTTACGTATTAGCAATGGAATTTACACTCGACAATGATTTTAATTACTTATAGAGAACTCTTGTTCGATATTTCATGACTTATTTGAAGTAGGTCTTGTTGCGTATTTAATGATAATTGGTTTTTAAGTGACACACAGTGCAGCGGCCATGTTCACAGTTAATTAATTGATATTTAACCCAGCCTACTAATTGCTTTCGGAATAAAATCGTTGCTAACGAATAGGTTTAAGTAATCAAATGTGGGAGAGCCAATCTTTGCCACAATGTAGTCGGCTCGGCTGAAGCGATAGCAAAGTGGCGTGAAACAACCACACCCTGTAGTTACCAGAGGCCCAATCCCTAGTTTATCGACCTATCACATTAAAAACATTAACCCCCGGTTTCCGAAATACCGATCAATGTTAAAATCAATTTAATCTCTTGTCAAGTCATCTGATTGGTTGACTGAATTATCAACAACCAATCAGATGACTTGACAAGAGATTTAACAGGAGATTGATTAATTTTAGCGTTGACAAGCCTTTCAGAAACCGGGTGTACCTGTAATGTTTCTGAGTACCAGGTACTGGTGGTGTAGCAGGTGTCCATGGTTGGTGCCGATCACTTACCATCAGGTTATCCGTCTGCTCGTTTGCCTATTCCACAAAATGGTACGGCAGACGATGTGGTAAGTTGCTGAATCTTCTATAAAATAAATACGTGTTGCATCTATTAAAGAAAATCATACTATTTAAAATAACGCAAATAAAATTGATCAATTATTATTTACTGTATTTACTCTTAGCATTTAGTTTACCATTTCCCTTTAAACGCATTTGAAGTGTTTCCTTCCTCAACTCGGAGCAAGGTCAGGAAAAATATGGGTGTGTCATTTATTTGTCATTAAAACCTAGGTACACAAGTCATGTTCGCTCATGCCGAGTCATACTATTATTACGTCAGAGTTGGGCGGCCATGTTTTATGCTGACGTACTGAACAAGCCCCCATTCTCGAACTTTGCAATAAAATGGTAAAAATATAGTGCCTACCGTCCCAGTAGGTAAACCTATGTAAATACTAAACTTGAGCCCACGTCATTAACACACTGGGAAAGTACGTAAGAAACAAAATATTTATTGAAAACTGCCTCACAGAAGACCGGCGTGAAAAACGCTTGCATTGCTCTTTCATCCTTTATCTTCAAAATTGCCCAATTCTCAAATCCTCGTAAGACCGACCACGCATTCGTAATTCCTCTGGTGTGGGAGGGTGTTCATTGGCGGCCTTGATTGCTTACCAATTGTCAGCTCGCTCCTTCGTTATCAGATAGCCTGACGCTGTATGGCATAAAAATCTCGAACTTGCAAAATCACGTAATTACTGATGGTGATAGATAGCACAGATGTATATTAGTGTCATTGGAGGTTTTAAGTAATCAAATGTGGGAGAGCCAATCTTCGACACAAAGTGGAGGAAAGAGTTAAAATAAGTTTGTAAGTTTATATGTAAGGGGTAACCTTTGGAACAGCTAGTCGGATTTCCAAAAATCATCACACTACGACCAAATGTAGCCGCGCAGCGGTTGAATCCGCACGAGAGAAGCTAATCTCTTATGTTTGGCTGCGAAATATAGGTTATGTGATAAAAATCTATAAAAATCAACAAAGTACATAATTCTATACTATACATTTTATAAATAAATAAGCGAAACAACAGGCATGGGTATCATAAAATAAAATTATTATCTACATTTTAATTGACAAAAAAGGTGTAAAATAACGAAAAGTTAATTATTTTTTTAATTGGGTTTTCCATGATAACGATTGTGTTTAGTGTATTTTATTTATTAACATATAAGTATTGGTAATGTGACCTATTTAGTAAGTAGGTACATACTGTTAAAAACTTACTCATTTTGTTAATGTTTTACTGTGTTACGAGTATGACCCAACTGTGCAGAGGCCTTTTCGACAACTTTAATCTAAATGAAATGGGACACAAATCAGCGACTATCCCTGTATGCACTATGGAAATACACCCAAGTATGGGTGTATCTTGGATTATATTGCGGATAAATAAATAAAAAATAGTGATCATCTGCTGGATGTTTTTGACACACCTTTTCACAAATTCAAAAAAAGCATTCGCTGTTGTTTGGTTCCTGCTCCAATTGTTTGATATTCCATTTTGCTAATACAAATGTTTTTTTTTAATTGATGTTTATTCTACTAATCCGTTTTAATAATGTTCTGAGTCGGCTTAAATGTTTTAATAAGGTTGTGGAAACTGTTTTGACAGAGGGACAAAGGAAATGTGAGTGGCTGAAGGGTGAAGAAACTGCCACCAGCTTTCTACTCAGATCATCTGCATCTGCCTAAGCATCCTGCATCACTGGCCCACTAGCCGCTTACGAACAGCTTCCACCCTCCGAGCAGGATCACTACTCTCGCGACTCCACTCTGGACAGCCAATGAAGGCAAGCCAGAGTCCCGCCTCTGGCTTGCCTTACTTGACCTGTTCCTCGTCATCGTTCACTTCGGCCGACCGGGCCTCAGGGAATGAGTACCAGAAAAGGCAACAGATATAACAGTGCCTAAAGATATGGCCATCAACTTACTACTTAGTTTTTTAGTTTCAAAAATCATCTAGTTACTCCTCTCGCTAGAGGGACTACCAGACTCTGACTGACAAAAACACCCTGTTCCTTCTCCTGCTTGAAGCCGCTGCCCCAGTGCCTTATTATTGAGCTTGACTCGCTATCCCCGCAAGCCCGCCTGGAATTTTGATTAAGACTTAGGTATTGTGTTGTGCATTGCAAATTTCCATTCTGTCACATAGGACTCATAACTGGCGAAAACTGGATATTATAACGCATCGCTAATAACTTCGAAATAAGTTTTTTTCAGAGTTGTTTGGCAAACTATCGGATAGATCGCCTGAAGGTAAGCGGTGCTATCATACATGGACAGTTGAAATACTACAGGACTTACAAGGTTGTTAAGGGAAACAAAATAGACTTTGAAAATTGGCTATGGGGGTCGGGAAGGATTGTGCAGCCAGTAACCTCAATCACATGGCGAAACACGACGTACCTAAGTGTTTTTCACGAGGCTATTCTGCGGCCGTGGTATCACTACGAGTCCACTCGCTTCACGGAGGGCGAGACATGTCATTTGATGATTTCTCCTGCAAAAACATATTTCTTATCAATCAGACAACGCAAGATATTGTCAGCTAGATATATATAGCCTCTTCAATAAGTAAGCACAAAATATAATTCTTTGAAATTTTTATATTTGGACCTTTTGTTCTTATTATTCTAGTTCAATGACCGGTGTTCGTCTTAAAGTCGCCATACTTACAAAAATAACTGGTTAATTACCATACTTTAATATGTCCAAACCAATAACAATGATTTAAGACAAAAATAAATTTTATACAAAGGAAAAAGTTCTAATTAACAAAAATAAAGCTATATATTTGTGATGTTCTTATCAAGTACGACTTGGTATAAAAGCATGCGCAGGCGCCGCTTGCTTGTATTCGCTAGTGATCTTCAAGGCAGTAACTGTCACTTGTCGCAGTCGCGTTCGTGTTTGCGACTCGAGCGCATGTAATCGATTAATTTATCCCAACGACATGTCAAATCGATAAAATCAATCAATTGTAAAGGAATGATATGATAATTTAATTTTGTTTTATCTGTTACCAGTGTAAATCCTAGTGTAGTTGCGATTAGTTACGTGTATCGATATTTCGATTTTAAATTCAACTTGTGTTCGGTTGCCCGTGAAGTGAATGGTGTCCTTTTGTAAGGTAAGCCGATATAAAATTGTTATTTAATTATTCTTAAGCAGGTATTTTAAAGAAAAATTGCTAGGTTTTTTTTAATAGATCGTTAGTGGAGTGGTTTGTTTGTTTACTTACTAGATTAATCATCTTTGAGCATTTTTCTACAAGTGGGAGACTTTATATCCCCTTAAGTTAGATATTTGAGTGTATTTTTTTACTAGCTTCCTAACGCGGCTTCTCCCTCGTGGTATGTTGATAAAAGTAGCTTATCCAGGGATAAGCCTGAAAGAATTCAGACATACATCCATATATGCCCACTATACCTTACACATTTATTATATTAGTGTGATAGTAGATTGTATATTCTCGTTGTAGAAATTTTTAAAATGAGTTTATTTGCATCAACACTATACTAAATCGTGTAGAGGAAGTTTCTACATTGAGGTATAATATGATAAATTTTCCTCTTTTGTCTCATTTTGACAAATGACGACCCGGAGTTATCATCCTATCGAACATTCTCCAGCCTGGGTTGCGGGGCAAGCGCAACGAGGCACCGCGGCCTCGGCCCAGAGCAATAGAAGCAACGGGGGGTTTTAGTCAGTAAGAGTCTGACACTCCTTCCAGCCCCACCCTGGGCGGGAGAAGTCATTTGATGATTTTCTCCTCACCGAAAAAACTTAACATTCTCCAATGGTATAGGTACCTATAGGTAGACATGCCTATGTGATTTACTTTTATGATGTAGTTTTATGAAAAGTGGCCTATTTAGCAGGAGGCAAGTCTATTACAAATTGCAATAGGAATAATGTACCTGGCAGTATTTCTAACTACGTGGTTTTTTTATTTACGTAAATTGAAAATAGGTTTTCATAAGGATTTTTTTAATGAAACACTTTCGTCTTTGATTTTTTTTAAGGCTGCATTTTGTGTGTAGTGCCATATAACATAATATTTATCACTACATAGTATAAAACAAAGTCGCTTTTGCTGTCCCCTATGCTTAAATCTTTGAAACTACGCAACGGATTTTGATGCGGTTTCTTTTAATAGATAGAATGATTGGAGAGGAAGATTTATATGTATTAAGTATAACATCCATTAAATAGCTGGGATATTTAGTATCAGCATTGCTACCATACTGTGCGAAGCCAGACTGATCGCTAACTATAGTTTGACAAACGGAACAAATACATAATATATAATGTTAATTGTTAAAACTTTTTTATTTCAATTATTTTGAACATAGGTATACTTATTATTCTTTTTATATGTCTTTCTACTATCGCTTACGAGTTTTAGTTACAGGACAGAAGTTTGCTTAGTAAGTTCAAGTTAATTAAAAAATAACATTCGTATTAAATAAATTTAGCAATTTTGGACGACGAAAATAAAACATTGTTGTTCGCGTACGACGAGCGAAAAACTAATAGAATAATTAAATTGTGTTTAGATACTCGTACTTTGGAAATGACTTGTTATTAATATTTAAATTTAAGTGTGAAAGAGCCATGCTTCGCTATGGATGGGTCGGCTCGACTGGAGTGATACCACGGCATTTTAGAAAACCAGCGTGAAACAAACACAGCGTTATGATTCGCCGTGTCAGTGAAGTTATCGGAGGCCCAATCTTGCCTCTCCTCCAATACCTAAATCTCCAAAACCCTTATGCTTACTCAACTCACTCGTAATTCCTCCGTGTTTGCGGGTGTCCATGGGCGACTCTGATTGCTTACCACCAGGTAAGGTCTGCTCGTTTGCCGTCCCATCGTATAAAAAAACATTATTATGAGGAAAATGTTAATTAAGTACTAGCTACTCCCGCGCAGTTTCACTCGCTGCTCGGCTCCAATTTATTGTAGCGTGATGTCAAGGTAATAATATCTACAAGTATTTCAACTTCATAGAAACGGCCGAAACGCGAACTATACCTACGCGCCCGATGTCGGGACGCGCTCGGGATGCAGACAGACGCGGCTGTACCGCAGTGACGAACGGAAGGTGTGTTGTCTTTTATTTAGAAATCAGCTCGAGTACATTATTTAATATGACGAATAGGAAATATTGTGCTGTTATTATGTTTGGTTGCATGAATTCGTCAATAACGCATCCAGACATAAGTTTTTTTTTAAATTACCTGGAAACTCTGAAAGGTAAGACTATAAAATAATTTTACTTACTAGTAGCCTAGGTAGGTACATAATGTGTGTCTTTATGGATCATTATTTCCAGTTATCTCACGAAAACAGATGTTTGAATTTATAAATAATATGAATAAAGTTATTGAGACGAGTGAAATAGGTAGTTATAGGCGGTGCTGGTTCTGAATGAATCATGATACGTTAGGTACCTACCTACTTACGCTTGTGTTAAAACGGTTCATGTATGTTTTGTTAGTTTGTATAATTCAAAGTAGAGAGTGTGGTATTTTATTATTAATAATATTTGTTTATTATCTGCGTTTATGAATAATACTAGAAAATATTTAATAACAACAATAAAACAGCTAGACTCATGTAATATTTTGATGTTTGAGGGTTGTGATTTTAGAACATTCGTAGTCAGCTGTTCAGTTCGGCATTAGTGACCAAAGAAATTTTGTTTGTTTATTTTTAAAGCACTTTATTTGTATAAATAAAAATGGATATTTACAATCACAAAACTAAATGGAAACAGAAAGTAGACAAAGGTAATTAAAATACTGGAGACGAGCAGCCCTAACGCATGTTTACGTACCGCGCGGCTGTAGGTATTTATTTCTTTCAAGCGGCCGAGTTACAATACTGTATGATATTTATACTGTGGTGATGTTTTATAGCCTATAGCACTCTGGAACATTGTAGCTATCTTTCAGTGAAAGAATTTTGGGAATCCGGCCAGTGGTTCCAAAGATTACCCCCTACATACAAACTTACAAATTTTACCTCTTTATAATATTAGTATAGATTTAATTAATCTATCAGAAATCCTCTCATTTACTTTTAGTGTTTAGGTTTTTCTTAATTTTTTTTTGCCGTGATATTGAGCACAGCTACATCCGTATTCATTAATAATGAACGGAACTTTTTATAAGTCTGGGATAGTAGATATTACCCACTGTATGGCAATAAGCTACTTTTAATAGATATCGAGTTCATAAACCAAAACTTTAAAAGAATTAAGAAGAATCGCCAATTTGTTTTAAAAGTATGAAAGCTATATTTTACGAATATTATCCCTTATTTTCATGAAGTCTAGAACCGTGACTGGTGTTCGGCAAACGACTCACTGTTGTAGATTCCTATTACAAAATGTATTAGATTTCTTTTTAATAAATGAGTATATCGCTAAATAGCATTCTATAATTTTTTAAAGGATTGACATTTGTAACGTCATTTATATTTTTATTTAAAGCTAAAACTTGGAACTAATTTTCAAATTTATCAAACTACCGTTAATTTTAATTATTTTTGAACAATTTATTTTTTGTAGCCTGCCTGTATGTCTGTTTTCGGTATCAAATGAAAAAAAGTCCAATAGACTACAAGACTTACCACAGAGTTATACCTACAACTTCGCGATCATGACCATAAACGAATTGCTAGTTTTTTTTATATCAACAAAAAACCTAATTACAGAACGTATTAAAAATAACCGGTTAGGTATATTACTGAGTGTGTTATAAATATATTATGAAACAAGTAACACTGCCTTTATAAAAATATTAATAGGTAACTGATAAAGTTCGATCACGGGGCTAAATATGGTATATACCAAATAAGTGTCAAAACTAGAAAGAAAAAAAAAATTGGCACACTAATAAACTACATACCTATTAAACAAAAAAAATAAGAAAAAGAAATCCCGCGTGTCTCACGGTAGAGCCAAATAGGTACAGTTCAGCAAAAAAAAAAATATGCCAAACAACGTTGCTTGACGCTGGTTTTCAACTGAGGATTAGGGATCTGGAATGGGAGAGGGTTTCTTGTTTTTAATTTTTTTGAGGTTGGTAAATTATCTGATTACCTTTTTCTGGGTCAGTCGAGTGTCAAGACTCTTATTGACTAAAAAGCACCCTGCTCCTGCATCACTGGTACACTATTGCGCCTGATCCGCATCGCCGAATAGTATCGGATCGGGCTTCCGCCTCCTCCCTTCATGGCAATAGTTTTTATTCGGGTATTACTTAATGTCGGAGTGCAGTTAGGTGTAATATCTCCAAAATAATGCAATCGCCGAGATCGAGATTGTAGTGTGGGCTAGTTGTGCAAAATAAAAGCTTTTATTTGTTTATTAAGAGCCCAAAGTACCTCATAAGCGCCACAATTGTTTGCGGATTTCGCTACCAAACCTGTGAGCGCACGAGTTCCTTGCAGCCCCTCCGCAACATGGCGCCCTAGGCATTTGCCTAGTTGGCCTTAGGTTTTATAAGACACTGGCCTCCTACACATAAGAGGGTTAGCCACAATCTCCACGCTTGGCAGCCGGTCGGAGTGTGCATACTGATATTAAAATATATTGTGTAGGTATGTGTCAATTAAGGGTAATTTGCGGTCGCGGATTTTCGCACTGTAATTAATCTTAGAGATAATAATGTTATTAAGTGTCTTGTGGAATGTTGTGTTGAATACCTGCACATAGAGAGACCTCGATTTATTTTAACAGATTATCCACTTTATTCCTTTTGGAATAGATTCGAAATTTGCAACATGAGAAGATTGACGTATTGGTATGGACGCCCCTTTTTATGTTCGGCTGTCAGATGGCTGAGTGACTAAAATACTACGCTAAAATATGGTAAATTTTAGACAGATAAGAATTGAGCTGTAGCGACATCTACCGCACAATATGCAGTAACAGCACCAATTACATTCAAGTCTACATCGCTTTGTAACAGTTCTTGACGCAATTAGAACAAGTACGAAACCCCTACAATAACCGTTGGGCAGTAGCCCACCAGACACACCTTCCGTCCGGTTGGAGGATACTCCCTTTTCTATGGAGGATGAGGAACTTTACACTATGTGCTGATGTGCTCTCATCCC